TACAGATATACAGTAAATACTGTGGATGTGTGTAATGTTCCTCTCGGGCTGCATTTAAAAATAAAATAGAGAAAATAAATAAAATGGCTTTTGAAAATATGTGCATCTTAAACGTGCTTAATTTTAGATAAATAAAATAAAGTGTAGCAGCAGCTTGAGTTTCCCTTTTTCTTTGTTAACCGTTTCACATCATGACTTAAAGGTCCCATTTCATGGCCATTTCCACTGATCATAATTCTATTGTTGAGGTGGGGCTGCCAACATTTGAGTTCAGCTTGGAGTGAGATTTTTTTTTGGTGAACCGAAAAAAGAAACGTTCATGTGTACAGTGTTACAAATGTATTGAACATGTACAAAGTTTAGGGTTTCCCATTAATATACTGGGCGCTACAGTGGAATACGCACACACAGTATACCCGCGACTCTTACAATGAAGGCTCGATAATCAGTTCACGGCATATAAAATGGCATATAGGTGTAAGCAGAGGTGCTATTTTACAAGTGGGGAGAGTCCTCACCTCCTCTAAGGGGCTCCGGGGGCATGCCCCCCCGGGAGGATTTTTTTTTTAAAATATTGAAGTTAAATGCATCAACCTGGTGCATTTTGAGAGCAAAATGAATTTAAAGATACATCTCTCAGCACCCATATGAAACAGAACTGTAAACAGATTTTCTTTTACTTTATGGATATTTTACAAATCCCTTTTAAACTGTATTCTTGTTTTACTGTCATATAGTATTTCATCACTGTTTTTCATTTATTCTCATAAATGGTGACCAAAACGTTTGAGACCCACTGAGATAACTAGACTAAAGTTAACTATCTACACAGAGAGTCCCTTACCTCACTGAGCTGTAGTTATCTCTCAGTCTGACAGGACAGAGATCTCCCTTTCCTTGTTTTAGAAACAGCTTTTAATATCCGTTAAGCTAACCAGATGCTAACAACAACAATGCAAATAGTGAGTTTGGTAGAAATATACTATATAATAGTAAAGTTATTTAAGATGATGCCATAGTTATTGAAGATTTACATTAGTATAAATATTCCCCCAAATTATTCTAAAGCATATTCTTCCAAACTCCTTGCTGTAGTATGACACACAGGAGACTATTGATGTGTGTAGTGAGTTTGGTAGTAATAAGCTGTATAATAGTGATTGAATATTATTGTATTCTCTTTTTTCGGAGTTGCACTTTGCAGACGGTCCCTGAGCACTCTTCTCCGGCTGCAGATAGAGACCAATGTAACGTGTCCAGCTCGGAGGACGGCGCATATTTGCTTTTTTTTAAATCAAAATGTGACTGTAGTTCTTTGTCAACCTTACTACGGTACTTAGGAGACGTCATTTGTGTCTGAATAACGTTTTGTTCATGAGTTATTGATCCGTGAAATCAGAATCTCCCAATATCGTTCCAACTTTACTGAACTAAGCCATAAGACCGTCTCATTTCGTAGACCGCTCGGTTTGCTGTTCCTTAACTTTATTTTTATATTTATATACATTTATTTTGGACGAAAACTTCGCGTGAGGAAAGGCAAGTGTGGCGTGAGTGCGTGAGATATGGGTTAATTGCGTGACTCTCACGCTCAATGCGTGAGTGTTGGCAGCACTGTGTTTGGATAAAGCCTAGAATGTTCCACCCACATTGTATCTTATGATGGCCTGATGTCTTTTTATTTTAGAAGAGAAACCCACAAACGTTTTAAAACTACAAACGAAATCAATTTTAGTGAACCCAAACCAGCAATCATTTCGAGGTTGACAGACCACTACGATGTGATTGAGTCCTCACCGACTCCTGACATTACGTTATGTTTTGCCATCCATATTCTTTATTACTTTGATTTTGTATTATTTTAGAGTCAAGGCTTGTTCTTTCCTAATCAGTCATCAATGCTAGTGATTGCACAAACTGCTATTCAGATGCCACCTTTTTAGGAAACAAATGGTAATTTAGTAAATACTTCAAGTCTAATTGAAATCAAGATCACTTATGCAAGATTTACTGGATATCAATTAGGCCTACTTATCCACCTGGGAAACGGTATTGTCGTTTTGGACATCGCTGGGGACCGCTAAGGACTTTATTTCCAACACCGTGTATATAGTCTATGCGAGACACCCAGAGAAGCAGGGTGCAGCGCCTCTCTTTCTAAGGGAGGAAAAGTGTTTTAAATAGGAGTAAGGGAGTTATATATAAATATATGGCATTTATTTTCTTTCAACCCTTCTTTTATTAGTCTTAAATAGATTAAATTACTATCTTTGAAGGGCACGTTCATTTTTAGCCATTCAAATACATACCACAACCCATGCCGGTTATTATACGGTTACATGTTGATTTACAGAAGCACGTTTTTTTCAGAATTTGACTTTCTTCAAAATGTTCCTTTCTTCTCAAAATGTCACTTCCTTTTCACTTCAGACTTCAGCTTTGATACAAAATGTAAACAAATTGAGTTCTGACACCCCTGCTGTAAATCCAACACGATAGACATCAGTTGTCATCAACTTCTCACTGACTATTAGGGGGAACAATGATGTCACACAGAGGAACAGGGATTGTTAGTCACTTTTAACGACCACATTACAAGTAATTCAGAGCAAGTTACTGAGAAATTCTCCTTGTTCAGAGAATGAAAAACTCTAAAAATCTAGCCTACTCAGATATCATTTTAATTCACTACTGATTGTTTAACAGAGAAGGTTTGGTTGTGACAATACTTTGCTTGAGCAATTACTGTATACCCAAGGTCCACATGTGTACTCCAACAACCTTAAATGAAATTTCATGCATTCTTGTCCTTTCCCAAGATTTCTTTTGTATGTTGCTTTTGCTGCCAATAGTGACTGTAGGTCAGACTTTGCCTAAATACAGCTGCAGAAGAATTTGGGAGGGACTCAATATGAATAAAGAAGAATGCATTCTGAAAACATTTTAAGCAGAATGGCACATTTTAAAGTCAGACATAATCTCCAGCGACACTGAATTTAGAGGCTTGGCATCATGTTGTTTATTTTTTAGAACATATTTATATAAAACATTTGACAAACGCTCATACAGTTCAGCCTTCAAAGCAATGAAGGTCAAACATTTGTGAAAAATGTGTTAATCAGGAGAAGTATACAACTTGACACAAATTCTTGCTGACACCCATGCTAGTCATGGCAACTCACATTATCCAGCCATGTAGACAGGAAGTGCTTCAGGCTAAAGACACTAAATAGAACTACCCTTTCACTGTGCTCAACATTGATTACTGATGATGTGCCATTCAACAGAATTTGTTTTTATTAAGCTGACTGCCTCCAGAATTTCTACAGCTCGTGATCTGTTCCCACGGTGGAGTAATGTGTACAATACAATTTGTCCTTTATGTAAAGTTCAAAGGTCACGCCCACAGAATGTCACTGGGTTTTGGGTTGCACAAAGGATCCGCCTTTTTTATTTTTTGAATCTGTCCAGAGCAGATTTCTTGCTCGATAACAACACCTCCTTCTTCTCCCTCTCCTTTCTCTCTTTTTCAATCTTCATTTTGTCCTCTGAAGATTGCTGTACTGTCTCCTGAGGGGTAATCAAGTCAAAAGAAACGAAAAATGAGCCAAACAGTGCAGATATAGCAGAAAGATCACACTCAAACGTATATCTCTGATTACTTACCCTCAGGTCCTCATTAGCCACTTGTCTCTTGCGCCTTTCAATACTGCCGGCAGAACTACGACCCTTCTTCTTATACCTGGGAACAAACTTTTCTTTGGCAAGTGGATCAAAGCCCTAGGAAGACAAAACAGACTTTTAGAAGGGTGGATACATACTATGACTCAGTATATAAAATGAACAGATCTAAAATCAAATGTGTGCTAATAGGATAGTTCCAGACACTGACCAGAGCTTGGACCCTGTCTTGGTGCTTCTGCTGGAATGTGGCTTGGTCAACCTGTCCCAGCTCAGTGGGGTCGAGGGTGATGAGCTCTGGGTGGATCTTCTCCAGCAGGGCCTTAACCTCCCATTCCTGCCTCTGCTTAGCACTGCGATATGGATTTGAATCCAGACCGTCGAAGTTGGGCTCTCCCGCACCTGTAAATATAAATAAAAAGTTCATTAATGGCAGCTGATACGATTGGTTCAACCCATCATTCATGAGATGAACTCAAAGATCTAAAACATTTTCTATATACCGTAATTTTCGGACTATAAGGCGCACCTGAATATAAGCCGCAGCAGCTAAATTGAATGATGTGTACATATATAAGCCGCACTGGACTATAAGCCGCAGGTGTTTTAATGTTTAATTACCATATGTAAGGGTTCGTGCACAGAGGGGATTGTCGGGAAAGAGATGGCTGTTTGAGGAAGCTCCCATTTATTAAAATTTAAACAAACAAGTTGTATATTTGCATAACGTATTCAAGTGTTACCATTTAGTGCAATAGTAGCTACAGAACATGTACTGTGCTGTGTAAACTGTACTACTGTATCACATAGCGTTTCAGACACACAAACTTTTCAACTTTCAAACTTAAACGGTGCGCTCCCAGCGCACGTACCGGCAGTGATCTACAGCAGTGGTTTTCAACCAGTGGTACAGGGACAAACTGTCAAGCTCTCGTAATGTCTGTCTGTCTTGCTCTCGTTCTGTCTCTCGTACCACTCTCGGTTCCACTTTTACTTTTGCGCGCTACCTGTCTCACTCTTTTCCGGCCTCCAGCTTTTCCTGCTGGAGTCCGCCGCTTAAAGGTGGGGGGCGCGGGCCGGCCATAGAGCCCATAGAGTTAAAGGTTGTGGACTGTAACCAGTAAAATCCATAGATTTAGGAGGTCCCCTAGTGGCCGTTAGCTGTAAAAATCCATAGATTAGCCGCACCGTTATATAAGCCGCAGCGTCGAAAAATGGGAAAAAAGGCGCGGCTTATAGTCCGAAAATTACGGTAAGTTGATTTGAAACTGGATTTCTGGGATTTTGTCAATGGTTACATTCTAATCATCTCAAATGGTGTTTTTCTGGTTCAAAAGTTTACTACTTTTGAACACACTCATACATAACTTTTAGGTCTTTCTTTGTGTGAATACTGTGTTCTTGATAGAACCAAAGTATTGTCATATTAGCATTAAAGTAGAGCATCAGATAAATGTGAAGTGTGGTACCTTTTTGAAGAGCAGGGAGTCGTCCATGTGCTCTGCGTAGACTGAGGTGAGTCTGTACTGGTTCTCG